TGTTGTAAAAACAGAGATGAATCTTGGGTATCGAGCCATATGTAGAAACAGAGGTTTTTTTAGGGGGGATGAGAGAGGCTGAGACAGACAGCCTCTAGTGATTAAAGCTTGAATAGAATAATTTTAAAAAAAATCAACCCTTCCAGAAAAATTTCTGGCAAAGCTCTTATATAGACTAATTATCCAGTGTAATTATCTAGCTATAGGTCTCAGTAATTGAATGGCTAGGCAACAAACCATAATTCAAACTCACTTTTGCTCAGACGTTGGTTCGATTCCCACAAGAAGCTGATCTCTAAAACATTACATAAAGCAGTGCTAGTCAAATTACTTACTACTTAGTGCTTTAGACCGCTGTAGATATGACAAGAGTTCAGAGAAAACTCAATGGTATTATTATTTGACGAGAGGGGTCACAATGGACATGCAAAATGGGAACAATTTTGAGAAAATGAAAAGTTATTTTCCCTATAGTACGACGTCTTCAAAAAAGTTGATTTACTCTTTTAAAAAAAAGAAAATAGAAAAAAGTTCATCGTGAAGAGAAAATTGAAAATTGCATGTACTTTTTCCTTTCATTTTTTTTTATCTAATTTCAGTGAAATGCTCTCTTTAGATTAGAGTGCATTTGCAAATTTTTTTTTTCACTACGATTTGAGAGGTGAATAAATTGCAATTTCTAATAAAGAGAAAACAAAGAGAAATTTGTATTTATTTTTGTTTTGTTTAAATGGATTGAATTTTTTTTTAAAAGCCATTTTGCTCCATATCGCCACATTTGTGCATGAATTATTCAGCGTTATACATACATTTTAACACATAAAGCTTGATTGTGATGTAAATTTTGAATTGAGTTCAATATCTTTAAATTCGTTGGCTTATTATGAAAGTAAAACTTGTATAGAGGTGGTCAATTATGAGTCATGATTTATAGATGCGCATTTTGCTTTGTTGAAGATTCAGTTATTGTAAAGTAATGGATAGTGTCTAGAATGTCCACAGCTGTAACATGACTCTCATGTTCCATTGGTTTAAGAATATTTCATGTCTTGTTAACAAAATCAGCACCAAAAAGTTAAAACTTGAATAAAGTCACAGTCAAGCAACAGTACGTTGGACAAACAGACAGCGCTTTGATCTTTAGAAAATACAGTAAATCAACTAAACCATTAATAGATCAAAGCACTCATGTCTTAATTTGTTATGTTGATTACCTTTATCCTTCAACTACATTTTAAATGAAAGTAAATTTAAGCTCATGAAATATTTTTGTTAATCACGCCATGATCTTTAAACGAATTAGCGATAAATTGTTTATTGACTTTAATAATAATTGAAACCACGAAAGCCATCAAACTTGTCGTTCATAAAGGACAGTAAAAAACTGACAAAAATTCATAATTCAACTTTTGTGACTTAATTTCATTAAATTTTTTTAGGACACTTGCTAATTTAAAAAAAAAATATGAAATAAATTTCCATATTCAAACTACTAAAAATAAATTGCTTTAACAACTTGAAAAAATTTAAAGGCGGCAATTTTGCAAAGCACTTAAATAAGTCATACAATGCGGTTCAAAAGCAATTCAATTTTCACTCATTTTGATTCGCTCTAATTTACATATTGGACAAAAAAGTGAATGAAGAGATTTTTTTTTTCAAAGGTTTCGAAAATGTTAACGCACTGCCTTGTGTAATATAATCTTGATAAATCTGTTTTGTTTTGCTTTAGTGAGAATTTCTTCACACTTTGCTCATTTAATAAGTTAATTTGTAATTGACACAAATTTTTCTGTTATCGTAGATGGATGGGTGGATTTTATTTATTTTGATATTTTCATCCTGATGCTATTGCTGTCGTATAAAATTTTAATGAGAGTGATAAAAAAGAATTTTGTTTTTTGATGCTTATTGACATTTAAACTTGATATGTGTTTTGTTGATAAATAAATTGTGTATTTTAAGTATATCCTTAAGTCTAGTGAAGCTCTTTGCATTTTTAACCGAGACTAGGATATGGATCACCCCTCTTGTGCAAATTTTGGTATATGCTGCAACTGTAGCTCGATTAATAACCTTCATTTTAACCACATCTTACCATAAACACCTCAATATCACTAAACATCCTACATGAGTGAACAAGCAATCTCAATGACATACAATTAATGACTTTATTCTCATAACCTAATATCCTTGGTGCACCCATACAAAATTTACTGATAATATTTCTCAAACTTTGTTACCAAAATTAATATTTGTTCTTTATTGTTCGTTGTCGAGTAATTTTCTTATCAGATAAACTTTATCTTAATTAAATGCTCAAAAACCCTAAAATAAAATTGTGTGAATCATGATGCGGTTTTAAACTTAATAACAATAATGAAAGAAGAAAATAATTTTCAATTTCATGCGTATGTGTCGTAAGACAAGAGTAGCTTTACTATTTGAAACAAAACTTTCAATTTCACTTTTTTTTATTTTCAAAAGTTTCATTTTTTTCTATGTTGCCCAATTTTGAAAAGACCAAATTTCTAAATGGTAAATAAAACTGAGTTTTTAATATTACAGTACTTTCAAAAAATATAAAAGAGATATTTTGATTATGTTCAGGAAATGCCAACCGAAAAATAAAATAATGGAACTGTTGTGTGTGTATCATGAGAGTAGTGACAGCAAACTATAGTTATGTAATACTTTCAAGTATGGCACAATTTTCAATTAAGCAGTAGCGAAACGAAACTCTTATTGAGGTCTGTGAATTAAAATTATTTTGTACTCTTCTTCTCTTCATGCTGTTGAGTGATCGCTACTTTTTGATTTTTCGGTATTGTTTTGGAAATTAGGTTTGGGTTTAAAATTTGTTTTTGTGCTCCTATCAGAGATGAGATGGAAATCAAAACTGGACGTTATTTTTCCTATGACCGGTTTATAAAGCTGGTTTTTTGAATGAAGGATAAGTGAAGATTTAGCAACCAGGAATGCTCTTTAACTCCTTTGAACCAACTCCTTGTGACCAAAGCCATCAACTCCTTGACTCACTTTACTATTGTCAGCTTTTAACTTGCATTATATCTCCTTATACTCACTTTATATTAGACATAATAAGCGAACTCTGTCCAATACTCAACAATTTCATTTTTAATTAAAAAAAAAAGCAATTTTGATCGCATAAGAAAATTGGAACGACAACATAGCATGAAGAAATAAGAATCACTAATTTCGATACCGAAATAGATGGAAGTAAAAAAAATCAATTGACGTCAAAAAAATTATAAATAGAAATTGACTTTCGCCTTTCTGACACAAAAATGATAAGAGCTTATTACCTGTTTAAGAAGAGGAAAAAATCCAATACTATAAGAGGACGAAGGAAATGAAAATGGAATGAGAGAGAAAAGCCATGTTTATCCGAAAATTCTTTTTCTTATTTCCCGGTGGTGACGTTTGTGGATTTGAGGAGAATGAAGAAAAATATATCTGACACGTGCTATTTTTCTCCATACTTTACTTCTCCTCAAAACAGATTCTCTTCTTTTGTGCGCACAGAAAAACGTCTTTTGTCATGTTTTTGTAAGGTTTGCGAAAATTTCATAAAATACTTGTCGTCATGGGTGTATCCAGGGGGGTCTCTAAGGCCAAAACAAGATTAGATAGGAAAAATTAAGGATATATAATTAGGCTGTTCATAACCGAGGATTTTTTTGAATCCTATCTCAAGCTAGGGAGTTTCAAGGTCCAAAATTCTTAAGAATTTTTTTTTAATTTTGTTGATTTTTTAATCGCTATTTAAACTCATCCAAACCCTTACAAAAAGTTTCATGCTTCTCCCCTGATTGTCGTGAACTATAAAGTGATTGATGTCTATCAACTTACTTTATTTTTTGTGTCTTTGGATAAGAAAATTTCTTACTTTCTACAAATTAGTATCTCTCGTATTTCATTAAATCTTTTACATCTTCTTACCTCTTTTCTATTCATTAATCGAAATATTTTAATACTTTAAACTTTCGTTTCATTGGCATTTTTCACTAGCTACTCAGAGATAAATGATTGTTATATTCTCACAGAGAAAACTTTCTCATGTACATACACGGATAATCGTGAGTGAATGCTGTGAATCTTTATTTTGATATTGTCAACCTATATTGTGCATACACAATAAATAATGAGTTTATCTATGAGAGAAACAAATTGCATTGTAAGCTAAAGCAAACCGGAGACATTAATCGCTTTATATGTCCATGTAGTATTGCTTGTTTCGCGGTTCATTTTTTTTCCTTCGCCTGAAGCGCGTTATATTGAGTCAAGGGCTGTAAAAAAAAATAAAATTTGCAATGCGATTTCCCTTGTTTTCGTTGCTGAATTTCTCTCTTCTCTCAAAACAAAAAAAAAATTTGAATGTGTTTGATGAGAATATGAAAGGGACTTGAATAACATTGAAATAAAAATTGTTGCATTGAGAATCACTCTCTCATGGCTCTCTCAGTTCTCAATAGCAACACGATTCGTTTGTATTGTTGCTCATTCACAAATACAATCGTAGGTTTTTTTTTGTGTGAAGGCAAAGAAACGTGAGGGAAACATTTGCTCACAAACGAAATCAGTTTTAGTTGAACTGTTGAAGCAGTTGCGTCTATCGCGGTTATCGTGGTAAAAGTATTTTATCAAAAATAAATTTCTCCTGCTTTTTTCATTTTTTTATTTGTTTATTACAATAAAAATTTGATCTTAATTTTTTTCGGACGGGTTTAAAGTTACAATATTTAAATTCGACATTAGCTTGTTTTTAAACTTGTTTTGTGAATTATCCTTGACATCAACAAGAATTCATGATTCTTTAGTGTACGCTACTGCCTCAAAAAAAAAGGAAAGAAAAATATCAAAAATAAAGATTTTTTTTTCTTCTCTTTCCTGCTCTCACATATAAACTAAAAACCTTCTTTTCACGATAGAAAGTAAAATAAAGCAAAATAAAATAAAATAAACGATTTTCTCAACCACAGAGACATACAAAAATTTTATTGCAAAAAAAAAAAATAAATACAATCAAAGAGAAACGATTCTGTATTCTAATCCGGAAAAACCTTGATTGAAAATAAAATAAAATCGTACCTAATAACAACAACAACTATAAGCCAGCACTCAATGTGAATTTACATATATAGTGAAACAATGATGATAAATACTAGAAATTAAAAGCTAGTGACAAAAAATTAATTTTTTTATAAAGGAAGAATAAAAAAAAACCAAAAAAATTTAGTGATACCATCGATAGTTTAAGCTTTGAAGAGAGAAAATTAAGTGAATTGTGAAAGTTATCTCGGCATTTAAGTCAGAAAAAGAAAGAAAAATTCAAGCAAAATAAAAAGAAAGAAATAGTTTCAAAGTGAAATCTACAAAAGAAAAGTGTACACAGAAATAAAGATATAAGGAAATTGATTTTACATGTGTGACGATAAACGATTGAGGAAGAATTTTGTAGTTGAAATAACTTATTTTCATTAATGATTGAAGAAACTCAGTCGTGAAAATAAATTGACAAGTGGGAAAAATTCAAACGCGAATTTTTCCACGTCCAAAAAAAACTTTTAGTTTTTTTCAAATTTTCTTATTACCATTTCACCCGTAAATTAGCCAAAGTGGATACTCTGGCACTCTCGGGGTTATCGCATGTTAGGATGGCTCTGGCAAGGTAAATTAAAAATTATTGTTAACACTGAAAAAAAAAAAATGAACGGAGAGAAAAAAAAATTGAAATATTTATGTCTTCATAAACTCTTACTTTCACTTATCATCTCTATAACTTTTTATTTATATCGTAGTTGTGTGTAATGATTTCCACACATTCGTGAAAGTTTTCCAATTTCTTTTCGACTTTTTAGTCTGTCGATAACTACTCTATACATAATATTGTTATACATAACATTATGGCAAAATTAGTTTTTTTTGCTATGTTGCACAAAATTAGTTGAACAGTCATGGTTATTTAAAAAATATATAAATGCTTCCTGATTGCTCACTCCAAGTAATTAGCATTACTTCTGTAGAAACTAATGGAATAACAATATTCAAATGATTTTTCTTCTTTGATCGCATGTTGTTATACTCCAGAGTTGTTGGATCTAGTTTGAACTGTGTGAATCTCTTAGGTAACGAGCAAGCAAATCCGGCTTGATCGACTGACTGACCTCAGTCAACATTTCTGTGTTGAATGAGTTAAGTAAACTGGATTTCTCTGAATTAAACAGTTAAAGTTTATTTTCAATAACTATGGTATCATATAGGCACGGTCTGGTTATGTTTTAATGAAGAAGATACTGAATAGGATTCTGACTTAACATCCATGTCAGACCATAACCTGATCCAACGAAGAAAGCAACTCTGAGACTTCCTTCAACTATTCAAAAAAGATTCTCCATCCAAAAATCATACAATAACCATGCAGCACAGAAGCTATTGACGTCATTTGGACAGAATAAAATACGACCTTATCATGAGAGATATATGCGAAAAAATATTATTGTTTTAGAGGAGCAAAGTCAAGCAGCACTTGAGTTCTTATTTTAAGAAGGAAGTATCAAAAGCAATTAGCTCATCGTTATGACGAGTCTTTATTAATTTGAACTTGCCAAGATCATTTTTAATATTCACGAAAAGAAGAATTATTACAGTCTGGAAGTAAAGAATGAAATCCGCACATGCTTCATCGTTTATTAACTGTCGAATGCGCATTCATAAGATATGTATATGCTAACATGAAACAATCATATCCAGTAAAACGAGCTTATTATTCCAGTTCTATATACTATATTTAGCTTCTTATTTTATTTTTCTTTATGCTTTCATGCCCTTTATCGTCGAGGTAATCGAGACGACTGTTCATTGACTGGGCAGCAAAAAGAACTAATATAAGCAGCACCAGCTTTTTGTTTCCGTTGAATATTGTGTGTGCAAAAAAAAAAGATGAAACATAAATTTTCTTTCGTTCTCATTAATTATTTTCAAACTGATTTCATTTAACGAGCAGTAATTCTGTATTTTTCTTTATACATGCTTACTTTTGCCATCAGCATAAAATGATCAGGCTAAAGAAATGAAGAAAAGAGTAAAGCGAGAAATAAAAGCTTGAAGATTCTCGTTCTTCTTTTATTTTTGTGCGATTTCTTCTGTCTGCTTTTAAAGACCTTGACAGAGGGTCATTTAGAATCATTCACCGTGTATATTATTGCGGCGATTAAAGAATAAGAATATCCAATTTTTTTTTCCTTTCAAAATGGAATTTAATGTGCGAAGGATGACGACGAAAAGAGATGAAGAGGAAATTTCATTTCTTCTAACAATGCTTTAAAGTTTGGCAGTGCTTGCAAACAATTTATGAATGAAGCCAAAGATTCAAATCAAGAATAATGACATCGGATACGTAAAATTTATTGAATGGGATTATGGAAGCTCTTTTTTGCAATATTGTTGTCTCATGGAAATTGGGACTGTTAGAAAAGCCTTGTTGGACAGTTCAGTGGAACGTCATAATAAAAGATTATTTTTGACCACATTGGATTTATTTGGGACACTTAAAATTTAATACTTTGTGATGATTTACGAGGAAACTGCTTTGTTATAATTTCAATATTGTGATTCATACCTTATGAATGACTTTAACGAAGCTTAATGCGTGCTTATATAGAATGTGAGTTGGATGTCCATGAGTTAGATTTGAGTTTTTGGGTTGCATATGATTCATAATTATTAAATATACAACAGATAGTTTTTTTTTGGGAATTGAGTGAATTTCATTGCAGAACTAAACTGAAACTCTGTCATAGTCATTGTTATCTTAAAGCCTATCAAGTAAGAATGAGCTCAAGAACTTCTATAGCATAATCGATGGTCACCCCATCCTTGAATCCACTTTAAAAGAACATAAATCAACATTCAGCAGCACATCCCTTATCTTTTACTTTTATCGATAGCACGTCTTTCAAAATTCGAAGGTTGAAGATTATTAACATAATTTTCTTGATTCTCGCGAAAGGCAATTTTCTATATTCTTGAATTGATCATAGAATTGTGAGTGCATCCAAAGAGAAAGAAGAACGTGAAGAGGATCTTGAACCAATCAAGGTCATGATGGCATAGCCAATGGGTGATTGTAATGAGGCATACACTATACATCATAACGCATCATTGTGTACATTTATTAGATGTGATAATCTGACGAATGAAAAATTGTTCCAAAAATCTCAATTTCAAAATTGAGTAAAACCAGTGGAGAGAGAGATAGTAAATCAAAGTTAATTCGAATGGAATTATTGGTGCGTAAAATAAGAAAGAAAAAAATGAAAAATATTGAAAAGGCTAGAAATAAATTTTCTTTTGCTTCTTGATTTCCTTTTGCTTAGATAAATAAAGTAAGCAGAACGCATAAATTATTCTCATATAGCCAATATAATACCGAAATTATTTTTAGCAAAGTTATTTGTCGTAAGAAAAACATGTCGGTTTGTATGTCTGTCATATTGAGATTTTGAGAACAACGCTAAGCTGTATGGCATGCTGAGCATCTCTCATGGGTGTCAAGTCAACTATTATAACAACTAATTTTTGAGAATTAACACCTTCGAGTGTTTTTATAGTTTAAGAGACACAGCTTCTCAAGGGGCAGGAGAAGGAGGATGCTGTAAAGTGGGCTATTTTAGGTTGTCAGTTTTTAAGTATAAGAACACTGTGATTATGTACTTCAAGACTCACCTTTCTCAAAGCTATCCCCAACTACACACCTGACTTTAACTTGTTTGAATTTGCCTAACCATTTTGCAAGTCTTTTAAATTTGAAGTTTCATTAATAATTACTAAACATGAGACTTAGTTAAGTTTCAAAATAAACTTTCAAAAAAAGAGTTTTTCTTCTTCTTTTTGCACATTAAAAATAAGAAAACCCTCACACAATTTTTCTTCTTATTTAATAGCCATGTTCGCATACTTCTTTCGTTTTCATTTTTGTTATTTCTATATATCCAAAAAAAAACATGATTTGCAATTTTATGCTTCGTAATTGGGCTCCTGTCGACACCATCACCAATGAGTCTAGATAAGTTTCATCATGATGAAAGTTGACTTCTTATTCATGAAGTCAATGTATTGCCAATATTTTAATTCAATTTGCACTTTCACTATTTAATGTAATCATTTCTTTTACTCTCATAATTGTCTCGTCGCCTCGTTTTCATCATTTAAAAAACAATTGAGCTTAAGCGATTATTCTTGTTAAAAAGTAAAATTGAAATTGAAATAATAAAGAAACATAATTTGTTCATGAAAATATTATGAGCAATGAAATGAAGAAAAATGCTCATAAAGCAATTCAATTTTTTTATTTTGTGTTTTTTTTTTCTTGCTTATTTTAATTCGTACATATAATCTAGCAAAGTGTGTCAATGAAACAGAAAAAAAAAATTAAAATTGTTCATATTCATAGGCCTCCGAAAAAAAAGCAACAGCAACGATGTTGCCTTTGTGTGTATACTTTACTTTACTTCAGTGCGAAGCGCTTTAAGTGTATTTGCGTCCCCAATACATTACGGTGTATGTGTGTCGCGCTGCCTCTTATTTTGACTCTACTTCTAATGTTTTGTAATGACAAAAAAGAAATAAGATAAATAAATATCAATTTTTATTGTTTGTGAGAGATTGGTCGATGGATGATGATAATTTTTTGCGAGACAGCACAATAAAAATGTTTATTTCATGTTAATGAGGATGAAAAAAGATGCTATAATTAATCTCAATGCATGACTCTTCTTGACGGCTTTTTTTAAAAATATAAAAAATAATCATTCTTAATCTGTTTTTAAAAACAAAGTTCAATGAATCTTCTGAATTTCTTAATTTTTATTTTTATTCTCATTTGGGGTTGTTTGATGGTTGGGTCCATACAATGTCTGGAGATTAAAAATCAAGAGATAAGGTTATCATATACTCTAGTATGGCAATTAAGACTGTCAGATTATTCCTAATTTTTTTTAATCGATCTGATGCAAACCTTTAATTTCATGACAAGTGAAATATAAAAAAAAACTCAATTTCCAAAACGACGTCACTTCCAAATAAACCCCATCCCCCTAATACAAAAACAAATATTTTTTTTTATCAAAACATAAAATTTAGCTCACACGTACTCTCCACATAATATTTCATCACACAATTTCATTTTGCTAATTGTGATAACGTTTAATAAAAAAAAAATATTTATAAAGTCGTCGATAAAATTGAGAACAGAGCCAAAAATGAAAATTGTTCAATTGCGTTGATAAAAATCGAATGTGGATTACCGTCTGTGCGACAAATGTGTGGAATGTAAATTATTTTTTTAAAAAGGCAGATAAGAGTGAATAGTAAATATGACGAAGAATCATTGTCGCTAATTTTGGTAACACAGAAAGATTGTTGTATTTATGCAAACATGTGCGCTCGTCTCTCTCCTATCCATGTGATACTTACTACACCTCATCCCTTATCATCTGCATATTACAACAATATGATCCTTTTTTTCACAGCATACATCCACCCTGCATAAATATAAAATTCCAAATAGAGAATAAAATAAAAAGAAGAAAAATTAGGTGGATGGCATTTAGCATGCGCGGATGTAGATATAACAAAAATATTTCGTACAGATTACTATACAGCATGTTG